CTGATTGCTGGCATTACAGGTGCGCCACCATGCCTGGTTCCGGGGCCAGCTCGGCATGCAGTACCGGGGATTGAACTCTGGACCTTGTGCTTGCCAGCAGGCACTTAAGCCATTGAGCTATCTCCCCAGCCCAAATTATGTGTTTTAAGGGTCATGCAGACTAAGAAAAACAGTACCTTTGAAGATTTATAGTATAGTTGGTTTCAACTTTTTTCCTTTGTTCATTTTGTAGTTTTTAGTAAAGATTTCTCATTTTTTAAAAAATTACGAAATCTTGAACTGACAGGATGAATTAGCAGTATTGCTCCTAGTTATAAATGAGAAACTCTCTGGATTGCCCACCTGCCATCAAGTCAAAATTAAATACTTACCTGGACTTTCTGATCCATCTGGCAGGTCTTCTCTCTTTTCAGACAGCAACCTCACTTTATTCATCTTTTCTTTTCTTTTTTTTTCCTTTTTTTTTTTTTGGAGGCTAAAAGCAGAATATTTATTAGGGGAAATAAAGCTTCTGCCCAAGAGGCACAGAAGGAGACCCAAGTGGGTTGCCAAGGAATCTGCTTTTATTTATTTATTTATTTAATTAATTTATTTGTTTATTTTTTTTGGAAGTACAGTTTCAACAAATAATACACTGCATATATTCTTAGTGGTTAATTGCTGTACAAGATGCGGACTTGTGATCCTATTTACAAACACCATTAGAACAAATCATTCTATTCATTAAGAGAATGCAACTGGGGCTGGTGAGATGGCTCAGTGGTCTAAAGCACCTACTTAGAACAAGCTAAGCTAAGCAAAGCACAGGGACCGTGGTTCAATCCCCCAGCACCACATGCCAGCCAGCCCTGCCCCCTGGTGGGCTGAGCTGGCCACACACACACACACACACACACACACAATAAATAAAAAATAAAAAAAAATAAAAAAAAATGCAACTATATATCTATCCTAACCACTTTGAAAAATATGGAACGCTTTGCGAATTTGCGTGTCATCCTTGCGCAGGGGCCATGCTAATCTTCTCTGTATCGTTCCAATTTTAGTATATGTGCTGCCGAAGTGAGCACACTTTATTCATCTTTATGTCCCCGATCTCTGGCACATAATAAACTGCATAGTAAAAGTACAAAATTTGTGAAATCAGCAACTGAGCATTAGAAAAAAGTAGTTAGCATCTGGTTGGGCTAAGTCTTATGAGAGTGAGACGACTGGATGGTGCTTGATACATTAAAGGTTTGGAAGAAAGTTGTGAGCAGAAGACGTGACAAATGGGAAAAAAAAAAAGAGAAAGCAGAACTCATTTACAGGTCAGTAGGTCTAGCCAGTTAAACTGAGAGATCCGTAATGGGGGGATGGATGGAGAGATAGGGCAGAACTGCAGTCCAGAGAGCTGAGCACCGGCCCAGAGTCTTGAATTTTCCTTTGTACTCTGGAAACTGGTTGGTGGTAAGTAAAACCAGCATCTGTTCTTGTTGCAGAAGTTGGCCTTGAAGTTAAGTTTCTTATGCATATTGTGGTGCTGTCCCCTTAGAGCAGCTTCTCAGCCTCCAAGTTAGGTATGCAAAGCCTGTCGGTGGACAGCAGCACCTTCATTGGCGTGTGCCGAGGACACCGAGGAGTGCGTGTGCCCACCCCTGCGGTGGGTGCCCTGTGCCTGCCCTGGCCACACATGAGCCCACATGGGCCCCACGTGCGCAGCTTCACTTCCAGCTCAAGTTGCGCCTCTTCTAGAAGGGCCAGAGGGAAGTAATTTTCCAGGGATTGGATTTCACATCTCCTTTCTTGTAATTTCTCATTAGGTGTATATTTCCTATTTTCCCTTCTAGACTGAACAGTACCTGGTGTGATACGCTGTGTACCTCAGAGTTAAATAAATGGGACTTTTTATTTTTGTAAAAAGAAACTTAAGGAAGTTTCTGTGTGAGGCTAGAGTAGGTGAAAGTTTAGGTAAAAGAAGAAAATGGTAGAAGGATCTAAAAGACATAGTAGGAAGGAAGGAAGTCAAAAGGTAGGGAAGGGGTGAAAAGGTGTGAAGCACGTGGGTTTTTCTTTGGACTTCCTCTGAAGGCCCTGTTTTAGTGGCAGGGGTCACCCGTTTTGTGCTTTGACAGATGGAGTCTATTGGGCTCACCTGAACTCAGGAGTGATTATTGATAGTACAGTTTCGGAAGGCTGCTATCATTTTTGGGCACTAAAATTTAACTATCTCAGCTTTCCTGTAGTATTTGAAAACTAGCTTTTAGCATTTGAATTTTTGTAGCAAAATGCATCATTCTGAAGGCATATAGACATTAAGCTGAGGGAAAGAAGAAGGGGCTGAGGCAAGAAAGATCTTTGGAATAATTTCTACCTTTCTGAAAGTTTAGGGAGAATATTGTGTTCTATTTACCAGCCTGTTGAAGTGAATGCATTCTTAGATCAGCCTTGGCTTTTAAATGATGAGCTAGGTAGTATTTTATTACATTTGACAGTTTGTGAGCATATTTTAAAAGCACAGCTTAAATTCTTTCTCCTGGATAAAACTTACTTGTCCAAAGCCAGTAAATATTTACCCTTTTACTACCTATGGCAATAATAGCATGGTCATTTTAATTTTTTTTTCCACTATGTACCATAGGCTAAAGAGGATATTTTATGTTATTTACTTAGCTTTTAGGCAAAGTCAATACCATTTACTGGTTTGATAAATATGTAGAAAGCTTATTCTGCAGTTTTTTAACGTGATAAACTACTACCATCTGAAGTTTACCTGGCAAATCATTTTCTGTAAATAATTGGTGTGTTATTACCCACTGATTTTTTGACAGCTGACTCAATTTTTCTTTTAAAAATTAGGTCATTAGTGTAAAATTAGGTCATTAGTGTATCGAACCCCTCTTACAGGTGTTGATCGGAGTAAGACCTAGGAAGCTAAGAGACTCTGTATGCTACACTCGTAGTTTGGACTCTGGATTTAGACTTGTCTCTGCCACTGGGGAACCTTGGGAAGCTTTCTTACCTGCCTGAGCTGCTGGCTGCCCTTCTGTGAAATGGATATAGTTCCTTTGTTAAGCTTAATATGCCAGGAAGCACACTGTATTTTGTGTAATACGTAGTATGCCTGTCAGGCCAGGGATGCAGCTCAGCGGCGCAGCACCTGCCTCACAAGGGCAAGGTCCTGAGTTTGGCTCCTGGTAGTCAAAACAAAGGAATAGTATGTCTGGCATAAGCTCATTGGAAGATCTTAAAGACTAGAAGAAAATAAAAGGGAAGGGGTGAAAAGATGTGAAACATGGATTGCTATAGTCACATATTTTAAGGTTGCTTTTTTTTTTTCCAAAGAGCTAAAAGTTGGCGTTACAGATTTGAAAATATAAATATCAATGTTATAGTAATGTTTCATCTAGGAGAAATTTTATATGCATGTGTGCAAACATGTATGCTTTGTGAACCAACCCTATCCCGTTGTCTTTTAAAATAGACATGCATGTCCCACTAATGGTTTGAAAAGTAATTACGTTAGGAAATACTTGCATGGGGTCTTACTAATGTGTGGAACTATTGTATAGTTGTTAAGTAATCCAGAAAATGGTTAGGTATCTAGAAAAATCTCTTCTCAGTAGTGCAAAAAAATATTAAGCAGACTTAGGCTTTATGACTTAACAGCAATGTACATAATTTTTTTGATGACACTTGTTATACCTATGAGTAGCACCGAATTGACTTTATTAATTTGTAAATTTTAAAAATCAGAAGATATTCTCTCCTCTAATTCATTCACTTTAAAATATAAGTCTAATCCTTTCCCGAATTTTTCATATGTTCCTACGTACATATACACATACAAATAGGCATGTATATATTTCCCCTAGACATTTTATTTTTATTTAGTTATCTTTTTTTGGTGGAACCGGGGATTGAACTCAGGTCCTTGTGTTTGCTAGGGAAGCACTTATTCCACTGAGCCATCTCCTGGCCCTTCCCCTAGACATTTTAGTAAATCACAATAGATGAGATTGTTCTACCTTAGATTTATTACCCCTGTCCTATTACTGTAGATTTTTTTTTATAGTTATTGGTGTTCAGAGTAATCAAATGTGTTTTCTATTTTTGTGCCAAAAAAGGTTACTACTTAGGCTAATTAGATTTATTTTTGCTTTAAAGTTTTTAGTAGATAAGAAATATTGCTTTCCTGTTTAAAAGTTTGGTTAATTTTAGCATTTTACTGTTATACTAGTTGAATTGAGATGTTAGTGGTGGCCCGTGCCTGTACTCCCAGCACGCGGGAAGCAGGATGGCTGTGGCTCCAAGGCCAGCCTGGGCTGCATAGTGAGTTTAAGTATAGCCTGAACTAGTTGGTGAGACCCTGTCTCCAAGGAAAGGGAAAAGATTTTAATGGTAAGATTTTTGTTCTGACAGTCTTCTATGATTTGTAGAATTTGATGTGTGTAAATCCTTGCTGCTTAGGAGTGAGAGCTGAGCGGCCTGCAGTTTGAGCGTTACTCTGCCAGGGAGTGTCCTAAAGGCATTAAATGCACTGAGTCAGCTGATGCCTCCCTTGATACCAGTGCTGCTAACCCCTTTTCAGGTGGGGGAAGTGCATCACTGAGGTTGCGTAGCAAGTTTACAGCCAGGATTCGACAATTCGTGCATTGGATTTTAAGTGCTACCCAGTAGTTACTGGCACTCCCAAATTTTATAATCAGGTACACTGTTTGAATGTAAACCCAGTCAACCAAGGTTGGCTCTTACCTGGACACGTACTGTGCTTTGTAGTTAATGTTAACTAATTATTCTGTATGGAAAGATATACTGTAGCTCTTTATGGAGGCTTAGCATTAACCCACCAGTGTTTGTAATCAAAATTTCAAAACCTGGGATTGAAAAATAGACTGTTAATGAAGCATTTTTACCTGTTTTCCAGGATGGTTTCTAGGTGCACCGATTGGCTTCTAGCTGCATGGCTAGATCTTCTCAGCCAATGGTCGGGTCCATAGATTGTGTAATAATGGGTTTACTTGGTATCCGTTGGAATGTGTCTACAAGGATTAATTTTGTATTTTTTCCTCTTCTCTAGTAAAATAAAGCAGGGTCTGTTACCTAGCTTGGAAGATTTGCTGTTTTATACAATTGCAGAAGGACAAGAAAAAATACCTGTTCATAAATTTATTACAGTAAGTTTTGTATTTTCCTATTTTAACTGTTTAAGAAGTTATACTAAATCAGTAGTATTGAGACAGTCTTAAGTCATGTGACAAGCAGATTCTGACACTTATGTTTTCAGATTTTTATCATGCTTATTTCAAGGTAAACAGTGAAAGAAAAAGAAACTGGAGCTTATCCAGAAAGTGGGTGTTAGTGGCACAAATGCCCCATGTTCAAGTCTTGGGTAGACGTGTTTATATCAGGAATAAAAACTTGTAGTTGGAATAAGCATATGCATATTTGCACTATGTATTTACAAACTCTTATTTTTTTCAAAACAGGCACTCAAATCTACAGGATTGCGAACGTCTGACCCCAGGTTGAAAGAGTGTATGGATATGTTAAAATTAACTCTTCAGACAACGTCAGATGGTGTCATGCTAGACAAAGATCTTTTTAAAAAGTAAAAAACTTCTGCCAAACCTTTAATGGTGATTTGCTCTGCTATATGGTGATTTGATTTTAAAAATTGCATCTTCAAAAGCCAGTGCTTCCTATGTACAGGAAAAAAGGGCTTTAAAAACAGCATGTGAACAACAACGGTGACGTATATCAACCACGATACACATTGAGTTAAGCGGGCTTTAAATCTGTTACAAGGAAATCTAACTGACTTTCAGTTTCACTTACCTGGAGATTGTGTTGGGTTTGAGTAGAGCACATCAAAGTGTCCTCCAGCCATCTACATGTCTTTCAGGCCTTCTCAGCAGTGTCTCCTTTCTCTCGAGGTGATTTGGATGACATCCAGGAGAGGCCGCAGGCAGCCCTGTGTCCCTTAGATTTGCATGTGTGCGTTGTCTGCCTCTCTCCCACACTCAGACATATTAATGCATAAGCTCTGGGCTATTTTCATTTCTCTTAAAGCAAGTTTTGAACTGAAGAGAACCTTGGTAAATGAAAAGCCTTCATTTGTTTGAACAAGGACTATTTTTACTTTCTTATATTTACATATCTTTATTATTTATTACTGTGTTCCTCTCAGTTTGACTACTTAAAAATACGGATGACATGTTTGTAATGGATCTTAAAAGAATCAAATAGATGCTTTATCTTTTATGGCAGTGAGGAGTACATCCAGGGTCCTCTTACTGAACTGTATCCCCAGCCCTGTTTTAATTTTGAGACAGAGTCTTGGTAATTTGCCCCAGCTGGGCTTGAATTATTGTTCCTCATGTTTCATCCTCCCAGAGGCTGAGATTAACATGCCTGGCTCAAATAGTATTTTAGGAGGGCTGGCCAAATAGCTCAGTGGATTAAATCAGGCGCAGGGGCCTGGGGTTCAATCCCTGTGCCGGCCCTGCCCCTGGGGCACGCCTGTAATCCAGCACTTGGGAGACTGTAAACAGGAGAATCATTATGAATCTGCTCTGAACACCCTGTAGACCCTCCCATAAAATACAGAAAAAATAGTATTTTATACTATTAATAATAAGTGGAAACTAGCATAAAACTATAAATACCACTAAAGAGATTGACTTTTTCTGAACAGTCTGCTCAAGTCGAGAAAGGTAAAAGAACATTTCTGCATCTCCTTGGAAAGTGGTTCGTGTGTATGTGATTTGCCTTGACAGCAATTTCTTTTGAAAGTTGCTTTGTTCAAGATGCCTCCTGAGAATGTCTTGGGAATAACAGGTCATCTGAAGGGATAAGTATTTAACATAGCTTCCCCGAAGTGTCCTGGCATGGGCAGGTTTTTATTTTTATCTTTTCCCCAGAAGGTTCTTGGTTCTTTAACTCAGCTGACCATGATGTGTTTAGGTATTAGGTCTACTTCATAATTGATATAAAGAATTTTGAGTCTCTAAGCCTGTCTCTTTGTGGAGGGAAGGAGTTTGTTTTTAGACTAACATGTGCCTTTTTTATAAGGATTATTTAATTTGTATTGCTCATGAGCTATCTGTAAAATTTCTACCCTTGGTATTTCTGGGAAGTCCTTGTGGCTCCCCAAACACACTTGTCAGCAGGTAGGTAGCTCTGTGGCTAGTGGTATGGGCAACTGCTATGGGGCTAGGCAGAAGCAGTAATATATACGTGTGTTCTACTGGCCAGAATATTCTTGGTGCTTTATGAACATGCTGTGTGTATTTTTTTGCAGTACTGGGGATTGAATTTGGGACTTTGCGCTTGCCAGGCAAGTGCTTATGCTGCTAAGCTAATTTCCTAGGTCCCCCATGTTGTTATGTTTAAATGTGAAATTAAAAGCATTATATTCTGATTTCTAAGCCAGGGAATCACAATTATAAAATTTTTTATCTGTAAATATGAGATAATTAACCATAATTTTAAATACTAATCCAATTTTTAAGTGTGTGATTGTTTTACAGGCAGTTCCCAACTTGACAGATGCTTAGTGTTCTATCTGATCAGACTGTAGACAGCAAGATTTTTCTTCTCACTCCTAGAATGAACTTCTTCAAATCCCATTTTCTTAAATGTGAAGTAGGGACTCAAAAACTTGACTATTAAAGTCCTCTAGAAGGGGCCAGGAGGATGGCTCAGTGGAATAAGCACTTCCCTGGCAAGCGCAAGGGCCTGAGTTCAATCCCTGGTTCCGCAAAAAAAAAGTCCTCTAGAAGAGGATTACTGCAGAGAAATTCCTTCTGTTTTTAAATACAGGCGCTTGCCTCGTTAGTGTTGGCAGGGATGAACTCGCCTCCATCTTCTCCAGGAGGTGATAAAGCCTGGAATTCGTTTTCACTGAGGAAGACCTCGTGGGGGTGGAGGTTGGCTTGGAGTCGTGTGTTGGTGTCTTACGTAAAACACACTCCTGTGTGTGTAGCCCGGTGGGGCCTGACAGGCAGCTGCCACGCTGGCTGCCGTCCTCTGGGGGGTGCGCCCCGACACTGGGGCTGCCTGTACGCAGCTGTGCAGTTACTTGTCATGCTAGCAATGCTTAGCGCTAACGGGCAGAAATGCTTGCTTGCTCATAGTTTCTGGTCTTAGAGAAAGTGAGTGGCTTTTTATGTTGGTTTATTACTTGGTTTTCTTAAAATATCCTTAAATATTGTTATTTTACTAATGAAATTTTTTTTGTATGAATACAACTTTATTTTACTAATGAAATTTTATATGTGTGAAATATTTTGTAAAACATGAACGAACATTATTGTTAGACTTGTTAGACTTAAGTATTTAAAGAAAGAAGAGACCGATCATTCCCAGCTTACAGATAAGACAAACCGAGCACAGCACAGAGAAAGACGCCTCTTGCCGACAGGTGCAACGGCTTCCTCTGTGCGTATTTATGTGACTTGCAGAAGCTAAGCTGATGGTATTTATGCAAAAATAATTTTTCTTTTATTTTGTGTATGCATGTATGCATGCATTTGGTACAGGGTCTTCCAGAACAACTTCAGTATTTGGAACATATACCTGTATGCTGTTAGACACTCTTGAGTGATAAAAATGACTTTGCCCATCATACTAATTTACCAAAAAAGGCTGTTGCCACGACTGTGCCAGGAAGTTCTGCTGGAACAAAGCCAAACAGAAACTCCAGTTTTTCTCTTTTTTTGTCAGTAAATGCCTTTATTAAGTTTCCACAAAACTCTGCGTGTAACTCTCTTGGAGGAAGCTTTCCTCTAGTGTCCAAGAATTTTACTGACTACAATTTTAAGTACTAATTGGCTTAAAATGATAGGTAATAATTTAAATTTGCTTAGCACATCTTATTTAAATCTTATGGAGAAATGAAGTATATTTGAACTGATAGAGATTAATAGTTTGTTTAGTAATTGCCCTTTTTTATTTTACCATGAGTTTAGAAAAACACATATTGAGTGTTGCTTCATTTCTATATTTGTGTTTACATTATTTAACTTCTAGAATCACATTTTCTTATCTGTAAAGTATTAAATTCTTCACAAAATAGTGGTACTTTCAGGATCCAAAATAACTAGTACTTGTAAGTTATCTTTTTTCAAATGCCTAGTTTTTCTCCTTCCTCCAAGAAGCTTGCTAATACACTATCATATCATCCATCTGTGAAGAATCCAGTTATGCAAGTAGCTTCTCATAGTTTTGACTTTAATATCTCAGCTCTCAACATTTGAGTTTTTAAATTTATTAAACATTAACACTTAAAGATTTGGTACAGCTGGCGTTGTGGCTCAAAATCTGCACCTCCTGTCTATCAGCTAAATAGATGCTCCATGATTGAGTTTCTGAGATGGAGAAAACTTCTCACTTAAGCTCAGTGTATAAAATTGCCTGTAGTCTAGTGTAAAAACTTCTTTAAAGTTACATTAACATACTGCTTACCTTTTCTGACTTTTTAAATAAAGCAAAATACTGGTTCAGATCAGTAGATTTTATGCCCTCTCATCTACACAGGCTACCATTTCTTTAATAATTTTTAACAGTAAAACAGTTTTACTGTATAATGCATATATCAAGTTGAATAAAAAATTTAGTATTTTTAGTGATTTATGACACTGAAATAAAATTATTCTGTGCATGAAATTTTACATACATTGTTTTAACAAGTATCTTAAATATTTTGTGTAAGAGAATTCATTCATTATTCAGACTGAACTACATTGGTGTGATCCTCAAGTTTCAAACTTAGAAATACAAATTTTTGATATACAGTTTAGGAAAAACACATTAAAATGTGCCTGTAATCCCAGCTCTTGGGAGGCTGAAAAACAGGTGGATCACTACGCGTCTGATCTAGTAGTGAGACTTTGAGCACCCTGTAGACCCTTCCCTAAAATATGAAAAAAAAAAAAAAAAAAAGTTGGGCCAGGGAGATAGCTCAGTAGAATAAGTGTTTGCCTGGCCAGCATAGGGTCCTGAGTTCAATTCCTGGTACTGCAAAAAAAAAAAAAAAAAAAGTTAAAATGCAAAATTTTTAATTAATAAAGAAAACAGCATAGTTTTAGGGAGACAAGAGGTGAATGTCTGAAGTACTTAATTTGGGAAATACACAGATCTCATCTAAAATTATGTTAGGCCTAGGTCATCCTGAGTGTCTGTCAGTGTTGGTAGGGTGAGGAACTTGTTTCAGACGGTGTTAATGCTTAGACCTATTGGGATGCTCTCAGTTTTAACCTTTGATACAATTTTGGGGCATATCTTAATTTGTTTCTAACCTATTCAGCTTACCAGCAACCACATGAAAGACTGTTGCCTGGAAAGAAAATAATAAGTTATACTTTACAGAATTGATGAATTTGTTTTTTGTTTAAATGTGAGGCTAGTAGTCTCCTAACTCTAGTGCTATTAGTACCAAGTACTAGTAGTTGAAAGGTGCCTATTAACTGTTTTCTCACATCCACAGATGTGTTCAAAGCAACATCGTTTTGCTGACACAGGCCTTCAGAAGAAAGTTTGTTATTCCTGACTTTATGTCCTTCACCTCCCACATCGATGAACTGTACGAAAGTGCTAAAAAGCAGTCTGGAGGAAAGGTAATGTCTCTGATGGGCATGCTTTCCCAACCTAGTCACTTCGGTTTTTGGTACTAGGAAGCAAACTCGGGGCCTTGTGCTTGCCAGGAAGATATGCTGCTGAGCTGTCTCCCCGCCCTCCAGCCCAGTAATCACTTAAGAGGCAAATCACTGGAATATAGGACAACCGGAAATTGCATGTTGTTTCTGTTGCTTTTTATAAGATAAAATAATAGGAAAAATAAAAATGACAATTTTATTGAATTTATCATTTGTTAGTACAGGAATCGGTTGGTTGAAATGGCCTTTTCCTAGTGGCACTCATGAACATGTTGCCCACGTGATGCTCGGGGCAAACTGTTAAGTGGTTCATAAGTTCAGCTCAGTTTTGTGGGGTTTTCTTTAATTAGCTGACTAAGAAATTTAATGAAGCAACTAGCTTTAATGGTTTTAAAACATTTTAAATATTTAATTTCAATACTCAGTGAAAAGGCTAAATGTAAGAGTTCTTTTTTTAAATTTTCAAATGATTGCAATGGCTTGTAACGTTTTATTTAATAAAACGATGTTATTGGGAATTTCTGCACATCTGATGTTTTTGAATGTGAAATGAATTGTTCATAGTTTTAAGCCGTCTGGAGAGAGATGTAGTTTGGTAGCAGAGCACTTGCCTGTGAGGAGCAAGGCTTAGGGTTGCCTCCCCGCATCCTCTGAATAATGGAAGGGCTGTGCTAGTCTTCACAGTGAACACTTATTTAATCTCCCTTTGGAAACACTTGGTTTTCTTTCATGCTAGCTTTGGGTAGTTTTTGAGTAATAAAATTGCTTGATAATTTTAGTGTAAACACATTAGTTATTTTCAGACATTTGATTTCTAGATGGTGAACTACGAGCTCCCATGGCCTTAAGGAAGTTGTGTTTCTTTTCCTTGGGAAAAATCAAGTCCAAGTTCTTTCTTAGAATATTTTTTTTAGAAAGAAAAAAAAAAATACATTGGAAAATAGGGAAATAATAGAGGCTTGGCGAAGTTACTTAGTATACTTTAGTTTGCAGAAATCTTGGTATGAAAGACTACACAGAGCTCTTCACAGTGTTGTGAAGTAACAGTTCATTGATAGAAGCTACATTGAAGTAAGACCTTTTTTGGTAGAAGAAAATGTTATTTGTCTGTGTTGTAACTGTTAAATTCTTTCAATATTTTGTGTAGGTTGCAGATTATATCCCTCAACTGGCCAAGTTCAGTCCTGACTTATGGGGTGTGTCTGTCTGTACAGTAGATGGACAAAGGTGAGTTTATTTCAGATCTTTGTCAACTTTATGCCTTTTTTTTTTTTTAATTAGTACAGGGTCTATAGGGACTCACTACGTACATCAGACTTAGAGCAGTCCTCCTGTTCTCAGCCTTCCAAGCGCTGGGGTTACAGGCACACACCACCATGCCCAGTCTCCATCACCTCACCATCTCAGTGCACCCTGGGGTTGGGTCAGCATGGCACGCCAGGAATTGAACCCTGGCCGCTGTGCTCTGCCTAAGCAGGTGCTTTAGTCCGCTGAGCTATATGGCTGGCCAGGACTCTCATTTATAAGGAAGTTACTTAATGTAATTTCAAGAAAGTTAAATAAGTTTAGGTTTTAACATTTTAGAAATTGAGATGGTAATTTTATGGGATTTTTGGAGATATTCTGTGTTTTGTAATCTTACTTTATTCAAGTCTGATTGGTTACATATTTAAGAAAAGCAATATTGTCAAAAGGTAACATTCTCAGTAACAATCTGGTTACCAATAAAATTTTTTTTAAAAATTATTTATTTTATTTAGTGTGTGTGTGTGTGTGTGTGTGTGTGTGGGGCCAGCTCAGCCCACCTGGGGGCGGGGCTGGCTGGCATGTGGTGCTGGGGGATTGAACCGCGGTCCCTGTGCTAAGATTGTTCTAAGTAGGTGCTTTAGACCACTGAGCCATCTCACCAGCCCCTGGTTACCAATAAAATTAATCCCAGTTTCTCAGCGTATCATTGGTTATTTGCCCTGTCATCTTTATTTCTGGTGTTCCCAATACGATTAGCATAAGGCTAAAGACTATGCAGCATAGCCTATGCGTTAACTGTTTGCAGAGGGAAAGGTAAAGTCCCTGAAACCCTTACTTGGGAAATGTATGTTCCAGGTGTTCCTGCTAACAGGTCAGGAACTGTGCAGAACTACAGGGGTAGTGATAGAGCGAGAACCCTAAGAGCTCTCTCACTGACCTGGGGTAGCCATGGTTTAAGCAGGGAAGAAAATATTGCCCCGTAACTTACCTAATCCAGAGTTGTTCTGTACTGGAGTACTTTTAAGCTTTTATTTCTCAAAAAATGTCTCTCTTAAACATTGAAGTGATTTTTTTTTTTGTGGGAATATCTTGATAAATTAGAATTGACATGTAAAAATAAATACTCCAGTTATGCAGTTTTGCTCTGATGTTAATTTGTTTTGTAAATCTATTTTTTAATAGGCATTCTATTGGAGATACCAAAGTTCCCTTTTGTCTTCAGTCCTGTGTAAAACCGTTGAAATACGCAATTGCTGTTAATGATCTTGGAACTGAATATGTGCATCGCTATGTTGGGAAGGAGCCAAGTGGATTAAGATTCAACAAACTGTTTTTAAATGAAGATGGTAAGAATTACCTATAGTTAGCTAGGGAAAGAAAGCATATTTTTCCATGTATATCTGCTTTTAAAGTATTGAGGGGTTTTTTTGAGACAGAGTCTCACTACATGGTCCATTCTGACCTTGAACTCAAGGTGGTATACACTACCATGCTGTGCTAAAAAGTGTTTTTCAACCAAATTAACAGTGGTCTTACTTTTTAAACATTTTTGTGGTATTTCAGCAAAATCCATTGCAGTAGTTCAATTACTTTTAAAAAATGATGATTTTAGGCATCTCCATCACTAGGAAGTGGGCTAAGGAAGCAAGGGGGCAAGGAGGAAGAAGTTCACTTCATCACCACCCCTACAGAATTAATCTTACAAATTTCAGAGTGTCTGGCATTTACTTTACACTGGTACAGGAGGGCGGGTAGGAGCTTTGGGCGTGATGATGAGTATGTTGTAACATCTGGCTAGGGGATTCTTTCTGGCAAAAGTGAGGCAAGCACGGAGGTCTCTTCCGGTCCATTTTCTTCGTATTGCAGGCTCTTAGCCTCCTTTGGGCCCGTGTATGCAGCGTGTTGGGTTGAATGCAGTGTGCTGTGAAAGAAGCCAGCGATAGGAGGTGGTGTGCTTTTATCCCGCGGAGCGAGTTGTAGTAGGAGCGGTATTTCTCCGCGGGCGTGTTCATATATGCCATCTGTGCCCTGGGCTGCCGCTGGGCCAGGCCTGTCCAGGCAGTGTGTAAACGGGGCGCACAGCGCTATTTGTCTGTTACAGCTTCTACTTTTCTGTCTTGGATATATGTTTAAAAACCTTCCTAAGGAAAAGTTTTAGTGGTAGCTACACCACTGAGGTAGTCAGTGGACTTCTGGTCTTAGTGTTTTCCCTTTTTCTCCTGAGTAGTACTTAGTATTTCGAGGACTATCTTGCATATAGTTGGGCAGCTACCTGCTTTTGTGACATTCCAGGAAATCAAAAGGAGAGGATGGCAAAGTCAGTTTTAAATCTAAACATAGCCGAAGCAAACTAGATTAAACCTTATTCCTGTGCTTTGGTTTACTTTTTAATCTTTCAAGCATATTTAAAGTTTCTGATTATTCAATTATAAAAAAATTGAGGGAAAGGGTGAAGGATGAATAAAAGGAATTGAGATTGTTATGTATGCATACTGACTCCCCATTACACGTACAAACACGTGCCAGAAAACAGGGGAGGGGACACGGGAAGGGAAGTGGGGAGGGGATGTGATGGAATGGAGCTGAGATGTGCCCGTACTTCCCCAGCTTCCCTCGGGGACTGTCAGCATTATGTACTGCACACGTGGACTAATAGACCAAAATTTAAAAAAAATTTAACTGAAGAAAATGAGAGTGAAGATTGTAGTAATGGTTGTGTGAAATACACTTTTGTGTCTTTTTCTTATTGCTAGATAAAAACAAAATGTCTCTTATTTTATTATTTTTAAATGAGATTATGACTTTAGAGCTATTACATTTTCTCTCCTACTACTTTTTAATGATCTTTTTATCCTGAATTTTTTTTTTGAGATTTCCTTAAATTAGCAACTTTAGTAAGCTGAAGTTCATTAAGCTCTCTAACATTGATGGAATATAGATAGCATTAATACTGTTATTCTAGTAAGATAACATTTTGGAGGAAAAATTAATACTTTGCTGTTAAAGCCTGATTCTAGTGCATTGATTCTGAAGAAGTTATTTAAAGAATAGAAAATAACAGATGTAGGCATTGAATAATATTTCACAAACAAAACAGCCTAGGTAAAGTGAAGTTAACATTATAGTATAAATTGTCTACCATGCACATTTCTGCTTTTGGAGATTATGATTTTCTGATGCTGTCATGTCTGTAAAAATTCATAGTAAAAACTCCATATGCAGAACTAAAACGTAAAGCTTAACAAGAGACTTTTGTTGGTTTTATGTGGCTTTTGGTTTTTGCTTTTTTTTTTTGCCTTTTTAAGACCGGGTTTCACTATGTAGCGCAGGCAGGTCTTGAGCTCACTTTGTTCCCTAGTCTGACCTGGACAGTGACCCCTCCTACCTCAGCCTCCCGAGCGCTGGGATAACAGGCAGGAGCTCTCACGCCTGGCCTGACGAGGTGTTGCCATAGCGTTAACACTACCTTACCTTTACAAGGTTGTGATGACAAATTAAAATTAATGTGAATATAATGAATAAATACGTTGCAGATACTCTTAGTAATAGCATCCTAAGATGGCCTTGACTGATGCCTTGTATTCTTATAAATGAGTAGACATTATTTTACGGAGATGTCAGTTTGTTAATCATCACACAGTGATTAATTAGTACGTATAATCTTTGGTGTATATTTTACCAAATCTGGAGGATGGAGAGCATTGGTTCTCCAAGAGTGTCTTCCCCAGCTAGCACACAAGACACAGAAAGTACCACCTCTAGACACGACAGAGAAGCAGGAGCTAAGCACCACATGCTCTTTTGTTACATTGTCTTACCAGTATGTGCTTGACAGCGCCAAAGTGTGTAAGTTAGCTGTAGGTTGTAAGTGGTTTTAGAGGAGGGGTGGGGCTCATTCGGATGAGGAAGACAAGACTGACTTGTTTAGAATTGATAAAGTTTCTACACTGTAGAGTTGTAGAGCATACTGCAAACACGTTAATGTGGAGTGATTAAATGTGGACACAAGTTCTTTCTTTCTTTTCTTTTTTTTTTTTTTTTTTTTTTGCTCCAAATGCCTTCAGGCAGGTTTGGCTGGCTTGAGTTGTGGGGATCGAACCACAGCAACCTGAGCCTGACTGCTTTGTTGAAGCAGCCACTTAAAGAACTGAGCTACGGGGCAGGCCCCCGACACAAGTTCTTTCCTAGCAATTTTAAAGTTTATAAAATACACTGTTCACTAACTTACAGTACTTATATCACTCAGTAGGTGCCCTGACTTTGTTCAGCTGAAATCTTACATCCTTTGACCAGCAGTGCAGCCCCAGTACAGCCCTGTAACCACCATTCTACTGTGCTTCTCTGAGTGCAGCTTTTTGTATTCGTCATGTGAGAACAAGTGCTATTTTTCTTTGTGTGCTGGCTTATTTCACGTAGCATTAAGAGCTCCTGATTTGTCTGGATTATTATGCAATGCCATTATTTCCTTTTTTTTTTTTTTTTTTTCTTCAGGCCATGTATTCTTCCATTGTGTCTAATGACACTTTTCATTCATCCATTGATACACTTAGATTGCTTTCCTCTCGGCTGTTGTGGATAATGGCTATAATGCCTGTAAGAATACAGATACCGCCTGTTACATTAATATCATTTCCAGAAGTGGGGTTGTCGAATCCAAAATGCATAGTTGTGGAGCATGATCTTTAACTCACATCATTGATTTTTCCTTGATGGAAATTGGTAGACTGTCGTATACCCAGCCAATTTTTTTTTTTAATTTTTTTTTATTTATTTGAGAGAGAGAGAGAGAGAGAGAGAGAGAGAGAGAGAGAGAGAGAGAGAGTGGTATGTGTGTGTGTGGCCAGCTCAGCCCACCATGGGGCGGGGCTGGCTGGCATGTGGTGCTGGGGGATTGAACCGCGGTCCCTGATGCTTTGCCAAGCTAGTTCCAAGTAGGTGCTTTAGACCACTGAGCCATCTCTCCAGCCCCCCCAGCCAATTTTTAAAATCTCATTCACTGATTTTTTTTTAATTGGAAAGAAATTTTAGCAGCTTTAATGAGCCACACTTCACATGCCGTAACACCCCTTAAAGCGTACCATTCGGTGACTTTTACTGTATTCAATCAAAGTTAGACAGCCATCAGCACGTTCCACTTTGGAACGCCGTCAACACCCTTGCAGAGAGATCCCTGCCCGTTTGCAGTTACTCCTCACTTCTCCCTGCGCTGGGAACTGCTGAGGCACTTTCCATCTCTAGATTTGTTCTGAGGAAATTTCATGTACCTGGAGTAATACAGTATTTGGCCTTTCTGATGCTGCATTGTACTGAAGACGAGCAACACCCAGGAGCGTTGCTCGTCTTCAGTCAGCGATGCCCTCGCTTGCCTGCTGCCCAGCGATGGGCTGGCTCTCGTTCTTAGACTTGCCATCTGTGAAGGCGCTTTGAGCATGCGTGTGCAGGCTTTCGTTGAACATATGTTTTTGTTTCTTTTAGTTATATTCCTAAGAGTGGGATTGCTGGGCTAAGAGGTAGCTCCTTAACCTTTTGAGGAACCATCCCTAGTTTTCAGAGTGCAGGGCTGGTTAGTTAAGAGCTTGTCTCAGTATAGGGTGGAAGTAGAATTTTTGATGAGTTTAAATAGGTTTTTTTTAAAAATGTAAGTTTTAAAATTATATAAGAAGTATGTCTATTGTCAAATATAGAAATATAGAAAATATGCCTGTCACTGGTCAGTGTTTTGTTCTGTATGTTTATACATAAGCATAAAAATAAAACCTTTAAAAAACAAATGAAGTCACATCAGATAAGGGTTTCCTATGTTATCTTTACGATGATACTATTACTTGACTGCTTAAATAGGCACCAGATACTGCCGGGCGTGTTTTAACTTAGCCATTTCAGCATGCTCGTGCCATTTACTGATGGGGAACCCAGCGAGGTTCAGTTACTCATGGTCACGGCTCCCATGGAAAATAGTGAGGTTAAGAAACCCAGATGTGTTCCCTCATTGTCTCACTGACATTGTAGTGGTGATTTGATAAGTAATTTAGAAAGTTTGAAACCTATCATGATAATGGCTGGCTTTTTAAAAAATATCACGTTTATGTGAAGTATCTGTATCAAAAACATGGTAACAAATATTTTAAGTAAGTTGGTTGCTTTTGTATTTTACAGATAAACCACACAACCCTATGGTAAACGCTGGAGCCATTGTTGTAACTTCATTAATAAAGGTAAAATATTGGCATTCCCTTTTAACCTAGTAAAGTTTTTATAATATCTCAAAGACAAAAAAAAAAAAAAAGACTCTTGGCTTGTTTATTATATAAGACTATGGAAACCTTTCTTTTCATGTTAAAAAAAAAAGCAAAAAAAAACTAGGTGTAGGTATAGGGTAGAGGGTTAGGATTTTTATGTGTTACAAAATAAAATGTCATTAATTTCAAAGCCAAATTTAAAAACAGATTTCACTTGACCAAAAATTCCAACAGCAAATCTCAATCTCTTTCTTGACAAAGATTTAAGAAGTCTGTTTAATAATAAGTGAAGATTTTGTTAAAGTTTTAATACTGTTTTCTTTTGTTCCTTTTGGCTCTTACGGAATGAGCAAATGTTGACAGAATGAAAAGCATTTTGCTATAGATTGTTGGTTGTTCGCAATGAGGGAACAAGTGCTCTAGTGATCTGTGTTGTGGGTCAAGTGCACTTGGTGTTGCCTGTTCTTAAGTCTATACTTTCATGAACTAGAATCACAATTTTATTTTGAATTTGTCTCATATGCTTTACTTAAATCATGCCATAACTAAATAAGTAAGGCTTATTCCAATTATTAAGTTTTATTTCTCATTTTGATGTTTACATTGTATGTTGTTGATTTATTTTAGTGTTTGGTTTACCTTAATAATTGGCAGCTCTAATGCTGTTTTATGTGTTCAAAAATGGTTCTGTTGTGATAAATTTGAGTATCTTATCATATAGTTTCAGATTTCTCAATTTTTAATTTAAATACCTGATTGTTTTGTTTATATTAAGGCAAACTTCATTTGTATTTAGAATATTTATATACTTTTCTTCTGTGAATTTGTTGCTGTCTATTCAAAGTTAGACTGAAACTTAAATCAAGGCATTGAAAGTGTATTACTGTAGATTTTCAGTACTGGTTACACAAAGAATATTCACAAATAAAACCCTCTTGGCCCAACTCTCAAAAATTCATATAGCTGGAAAAGTAGAAATCCTGCCTTGCACAAGTTTTATATCTTCATGAGAAAAAGCTTTTAAAATGAGGACTATCATTTAAGAATATGTATGTTTAGTTGTTATTTTGGGGCATATAAGCAGTGGCCCACATTCTTGTATGTGTAATGAAGTAGATATTATACACAAATATTTTAAGACATAACTAATTTTAATAAGCAATGGAAAGTTTCGTTTTCTCCATTATAACGTTAATTAGTCATGGCTAGTTTACAAAGGGGAAGCTATTCTGAAGTGAAAGGAGCTATAGCAATGCAGTTATGTGCAACTATAGTTCTGCCTTTAGGTAATTAGGTAGTGCAGCGTATTCACAAGTAAATATGCCCTTACCATTAAATTGAATAAGTGATGTACTGAAAGTTTCATTAATAATTCGGATTTGAACAAGTGACAAATTAGAAGGAAAGTTACTATATAGTGTGTTAATGCTTGATTTTAAAAAAGTACTAGAATAACTGTACCAGTTTTGGGTCTTCCCCAAAAAATCCATATACAGATACACATATACATAAATTTCAGGAGGGCTCGTTGGCCATGTAAAAATGCCAGTTTAAGAACCTTTTATGCTGGAAAGATTTCATCAGTAGCGGTTTCCGGAAAGGGTTATGCAGGTGGTTAGTAAGAGACTTCCTTAACTTTGTACAGTTAGAGGTCATTTTGTCTACTGATTCAGGGGTTTACCTGACTACACTGAAGCGCTGCATGTGGGAGCTGCATGTCTGGCCATCACAGCATCATGTCATTAGTTTTATTTGCCATCTTTGGTCATAATGCATAAACTTCATGGAACCACATTAGTGTGAGCGTTTAGAAACAGAATTTTAAAACATGTACCATGGAAGTGTGGCTCAGGGCCCAGTGGAGCAAAAGCTGAACTGAGTCATCCTACGCAGGCAGATCTGATCCACAGTTTTCAACTTACAAGTTTTACATTCAGTAGCAACGTTAGAAATGAGACTTTGGGACATGACTCACACTTAGGGTCACTTTCTTTGAATTTTTGTTTTGTTTTTAGAGTTGTTCTACAAATGCTACTTTTTAAAAACTTAATTCATACAGATGTGGGAAGGGAAGCCTGGTCTCACCGTGTGTATGTTAATTGACTCCCCAGAATATAAAACTTCTTAGAATCTTTCAAAGAAAGAATTCAAAACTTGTATAAATACCTGATGTCATATTTGCAAATTGTATAACAAAATTTATGAATTGTTAATGATTTAAAATTGGATAAAACTATAGCCAAAAGAAGTTGCAGAATTGTAAAGCTTTGTCCTCCTACCTTGTATACCATAGGGAATTGAGACTTCACTAGGCCGTAACAGCAGCAGAATTGGGCTTTGAGCAAATTCTGCTGGCATTTAGTGTGCGGCATTTACCAGGGGTGTTTGCTGTTGCACTTGATGACATCCTTGCCTTAGCTAGCATAATTATGTGGCCCCGAAAAAGCAAAAATAGTGTTTTCTCAATTTTTAATTTATACAAAAGATACTGATTTATTGACTTAAAAATTGGAACTATTTTTCAGTATGTGTATGTAGTCATTCTTAGACATAACTGGTGCCTGTGATCTGGAAGGAAACAGGTCCTTTCCCAAGGAGCTTCCGTTTGAGTGGCCAAAGTGTGGCTATTTTCTTATGGCTGCTGTATATGAGTTCTGTTGTTTAGGTTTTCTTCTGACCTTAAGAACATTTATACTTTTTTTTTTTTGGTTAAAATACAGAGCTGATGGTACCATTAAAACAATTTTCCTCATGTTATTTCCCAAAAAAACTTAAGTAGAGTCTTTAGTAAGACTCTTTATTTCATAATTTTGTAGTATTGATATTTTTTCCTTGTAGGATTGGTGGTGATCCTCAGGAAATGGGGGAAGAGGCAGAGCAAATGTTCAAAAGGATTAGCAGATTGTGGAAAAAGGAGGATTTGGACAGAAGGAACCTGTTGCATAAATTCTTAACTACTAAGCTTATAGGAAAACTTCAATATTTAAAATTTTAAACAAAGCTATATAGGTAAATACTTTTTTAAAAACAAATGTCGTTGTATACTAAAATTGCACATAAATAAGGGTTGCTATACTTCCTCACTTTCTAAATGCTGGCTACTAACTTTAAAGGAATACTTTTTGTTGCAGTCTGTTTTGTGATGATAATGTGTGGTTGCACGACTCACAGGGAAGAATAAAAGCATACTGGAAAGGCACTCAGTTACAATTAGCTGGAACAGATTTTATAGGAAGTTTTTCCTTTTCAGTGGTAAAAGTTTCACCTAATTTTAATTTAAAAATTGAAAATCTGGTGACTTGAAGTTAGGGGTGGGAAAGTGAGGGCAACTGGCTACAAAATCATTGCCACTTTTGCCATTTTATCTTAGAAGTAGTCTGCTATTTTATGCTCATGCCTTTCTAGTGTAGTGGTAGTTTACAGTTTATCATTCGGAGATTTTTCTTTTTTCAGAGATTTTTTTAATGTGAGAAGTAGTTTTTCTTAATCATACCATGAAAAATCAAATTGAATTGATGTATGTGTAATGCTGCCTTGGGTCACGTTAGCGATAACCTGTTAAAACTGCTTTTAAGCCATGTTTTTAAGGCAGTTTATTATCATGGACAGACTTTGGATTGAACATTGTACAGTATTGCTTATTATATTTAAAGTTTGTTGATGCATTTAAGTTTTTAGATTTGGGGTTTTTGTTTTGTTTTTTGTTGTTGTTGTTTTTTTTTTTTTTGCAGAACTGGGGATTGAACTCAGGCCCTTGCACTTGCCAGGGAAGCGCTTATTCCACTGAGCCATCTCCCTGGCCCCACATTTAAGTTTTTAAAAGACAGAATTTTGCCAACAGAATTCGCTGTTTTATTTATAGGGTTAATCTTGGAAAAGAACAGCTTGAGAACATTGCCTTTTTATTTGTAGTACCTATTTTTAATTGTCCTACCATTTAGCTTTATAGTATCTTCTGATTTATGAAATCATTATCAGTATCTCCTTCTGCCTTTCCTCTGTGAGCTCTAGTTTTTAATTAGTGTACTTTTGTATTTTGTAAAGGAGTCAAGTAGGTTCCAGAATAGCTGTTGTCTGTTAGATTTAGATGAGCCTTTTTTATATGACAAATGTTCACAGATGTCTTCATTATCAGTGATGTGAATTAATTTATCAATGTGTTGTTCAAACAGTATGAAGACAGTCCAGTGTGGTCGCATTCATTCTTTCAGTAGGCAGTGTTGTAACTGAGTGCCTCTTTATTTTCACTCAGCTCTTCTCAGAGAATGTAAACTCTGAAGCTTGATAGGCATGCTCTGTAAATTTGTATACTTATTTCTAGTATCAGGATTTGGCTACCTTTTTAAATAAATCAAATGATTTGCTTTTCAAAGTCATTTGGTGAATGAATTTAAAATTTTGGTAAATATATTTTGCTTATTTTAGTTTCTTTAAAAATATCCCTTCTGTATTACAAGTACTGTAACTTTTGAAAATTAAAATATACCATATTTCATAATGATTGTACTGTGACCTTCAAGCTGGGACAGACATATGAAGGGTTAGCGGGGCATTGATAGTTTAAGACAATTTCTAGACGTGTTTCCATACGGGCCTTTCTTAAGAGAAATCTGCCTTTTAGTCTAGTGTCTATTTTCCCAAAGAAAGAATACTTCTTATGTGCCCCAAATTCTGTTACAGTGCATGCTTCAGGTTGTAAAAACTTCTTGTGCACCAACAAACGAACATTCTGAAATACAGAAGTCAGTAGTGTTGAGGGTGTGAGTCATAGCAGTGACTGGTAGTTGAGTCGTGTTGTAGGCTAGTTCTTTGGTTTCAGCACATTTGAAAGGATAGTCATATTGTCACTTAGTAATAGCATTATTGGAATTCTTGAGGACAGCTTACTAGGACTTTTGACATGTAATGAGGTTGAGATGATTATAAAGAACTGCAAGACTGGCATAACAAGATTTTTCTCTATTTGTGTCTGCTTTTGTGAACAGAGTTTCTTAGCTCATACATCTGTAAAAATTAAAAATAGGAAGGAAGAGAATTAGTTCCTATTTCACTCAGTCAGAGGAAAATATTCCACTGATGAGTGAGCTAAAAACCAGTCCACAAAGGAAAGAAAATAAAATCTTGTAAGCTAGCATGGGCAGTTACTTTTTGTTTGTTTTTTTGGCACCGGGAATCAAACTCATGACCTCACGCTCGACAAGCAAGCAGGCCCCGCCCAGCATGGGCAGTTATTTACATTTAAATGAGAAGATTTGGGATGAGATTCTCCAATCCACATAATTCTGTATTTTATTTCACTATATGTATATAATCTACTAGGGCATTTTAAGGAGCTTACCGTATGTAATGGTGGATATTGATAAATATCAGTTTCTTAAAAACAGCAGAAGAGCATAATTTAAATGTTTTAATTTAGTAAAGCCATAAGATAGACCAAATGTGCAACTGCCTTCTAGAATTGAAATGGTTTTTATTTTAAGCATGATAGCTCAATAAGAAAACTTGTTAGTTTTACCGTGTACAGTCTAGGGCAAAGAATAAGAGTTCCCTCTAACTTGTGTATTTTACATTGATGAATTGTCTAACCAGTACTTATTTATGTGACATCAGTGCAGAACTGACACCCTTTTTCGGAAGAGGTGGTTTTTTGTTTGCTTTCTCCAAGGTTGAAAAGGTTTTCGTGGCTTAAATGTTGTTACATATTTTACAGCATTAGAATCTATGGAATATTTTGACAACTGCAAGAGTTCAATGAAGTTGGTAATTTCTTCTTTTAATTATTTTTCATTGAACAGCTTTGGAGTTACATTTCTACATTTTTATTTTTAATATAAGAAAGCAAAGCTTAAAATATGTCAAAGGATGAACTGGCTGGTACTAGGTTATCTTACCTTTGTTAGTGCCTTATTTTGATGAAATAGCGTGGTGGTCATTCAGGCAATGATTTTATGTGGGCCTGCACTGTTAAATACGTTGTGTTTTTGGCTTTTTTTTTTTTTAAGGTTTCACCTGATTCCACCCATACCCTCCCTGATCTCTTTGTATGTAGAGAACAAATGTAGCTTTATTCAGTTAAATAATAATCTGGAACAAGTCCCCTTTGCCTTTACCCCTGCACCCATAGGCACCCATAGTAACACTTTAAAATGGAACATGTTATATTTTTTTAGGGTAAATTATTGTTTTTAAGGACTAGTTATCAAATTATTTTAATTGCTGTAGAAATTAGAGATGTATTTTTTCTGTTGGGTACATATCACCAATTAATACGTTTGATTTCAGATCTACAACTTACTGCTTTGTAAACTTCGCCGAGGTAAAAAATGCAAAACCATTTGGCTACTTGAACTGATCTGCAGTACATAGGTTTTCCCCTAATGACGTTTGAGGTCGATACCTGTCAGCAGTAGAAGGGATGAAACAATACATCGTCCAAGGCTGACTTGGCATAATGCTAAACATAATTGTAGCTGATGTTTCTTAAAGACTATGAAATGCAACGTTTTTGTAGTTGGAGCCTTGATGTACAAGGAGAGATATTAAGGGTAGAGCTTTCTCCACACTAAAAATGTATCAGAATGTTTGCCTATTGTAAAATTGTAAAAGATTAGTCAGTTTTGCATTGTAACTCATTTTTCTAACTCAATTAATATTGGCTTATGGGGTTTCTTAAAAAATGTAGACTGTTCTTGAGAATGACATACATACATAATTTTTTAAGGGTGAAACTTTATTTTAAGTTTTTTTAAAATACGAAAGTAAATAGCATTCATATTGGCAATTTATGTGCTGCCATGAATGATATGAGGATTTCAGGATTACTTGTATTTAAAATTATGTAACTTTGGGTTGAGCGAAATTATACTTAAAATAAAGCATTCCCTTTGTAATTTTGATTTTTTTCCCTCAATTTGTGGATGTTGAAAAACACATAAAAGAGTTTAAATATTAAATTACTCTAGAAGTATTTCCTAGATTTAGATGTACTAATGCATTCTATTAATTATAACGGTAGCAGTTTGAGATTGTTATTATATTAGCTTAAGACTTCACTGTGGTGGTGTCTATATTAACATATTTATGTCTGATTTCTTTGCAGCAAGGAGTAAACAATGCTGAAAAATTTGACTATGTAAGTGCAACATAGAATTCTGTTTTCATGCTACGTTGCTTGTATATGTTTTTAGGCTTACTGATACTTCCCAATTTTGCTTCCTAGGTGATGCAGTTTTTGAATAAGATGGCTGGTAATGAGTATGTTGGATTCAGTAATGCCACGTGAGTCTAAATTGGAACTTAAGCTTTTGCGGTGGGTCAGAGCTCTTAAGAAATCAAAATTGTACAGTTTTATTTTCACTATTGATTTGTTGCTTCTCACAATGTACACGTGTATGTATACTGTTCTAGAAGTAATGGTACTTTCTCTTACTAATCCTGAGCCTCCCTTCTGTGAATAAATAATTACCTAAAATTTGGTCATTGGAGAAAAATGATTTCTAAGTTACCCAGTACTAACATTTAAAAATATTAGCCATCTACTCATATAATCAGAAGAAACTGCAATTTCTGTCAGATTCCTAGGGCTCAGTTTTTTTGTCTGTTGTATGCCTCTTTATCTGTGACCCTGGCTAATTTGATTTTTGCCTGTATTTTTAAGTTTGAGACTTGTAATCTACAGAAAATGTGAAAGAGTAAACAATGAATATGTGATATCTTCCTCTCAGGTATTTTCTGGTTAATATTTTATCTCGTTTTCTCTCAATCTTCCTTTTTATTATTATTTGTCAGCTTTTATTTCTTTATTTGGTACAGGGTCTTGCTACGCAGCTTGGACTTGTAGTGATCCTCCTGTCTCTACTCCCCAGCACTGGGAATACAGGCGTGCGCCACCACTCCTGGTTTCGGTGGCTGGCACAGCATCTCGGGGTCCAAGGCCAGCATAGCATGTGTTACCAGGGGTCAAACCCGGGTCCTTGTGCTTGCCAGGCAGGCACCTAGACTGCTGAGCTGTATCTCTAGCCCTCAATCTTCTCTTTAGATTGATAAAAATATGCGTGTATGTTTTTCCATATACATGTATGTTATCTACATACAGGTAGATTTTTGCCGTTACTTGAAACTCATTTGCAGATAGCATGACACTTCACCCTTGAATCGCCTAGCATGTATGGCCTGAGAAGGAGGACATTATTCTACATGACCACGACACCAGTGACACACCTAAGAATATTATCAGTAATCAATATGTAAATGCTTCCAGCTGTGCCCTTAGCGGCTTATGCTTTACATTTGTTGTTTTGTAATAGAATGGTCCCCCTTAGATTTTTGCTTTTTAGAAATTCTGTTAAAAGGGTTTGTTTGGTCCTGGTTTTGGTGTTTTTCAAGTGTACAGGTCATTTGTTTCATAGAGCAGGGTCGACTTGCCTTCCCGGTATAGGACCACGCAGTAGACATTTGGGCTTGTGGGCTGTCATTCTTCTCATCAGCCTGAGTGTGTACCAGAAAGTTCTCAGGCATCTTATCTTAGCTTGTCTGTGTTCTCAATAAAATCAGTTTTGCATTTTATTGAGCTTATTCTATGCCCTCCCCATCAGTTCCTTAAGGACTGGGTCATGTTCTGTCTCCCACTTCACTTCTGCATCCCTGTTATCTGGCACATGAGAGTGTTGGATTACTTGAACTATGCACAAAGCACTGAAGATTAGGAGTAGTTAATCTTTTATCTGCATGGTGTTGATATTTTTAAAAGCATGACATGTTAACATGACTCCGTATCCAATATTTTCTGACCATCCAAGTGTTAAAATGCAGTTAGTAGTGGCTGTGCACATCATTGTTGCAGAGGGCCATCCACTAGTCCTGTACTGCCCACGGCTTCCATCCCATGCAGTCTGTCCACATCAAAGTCCTTCTTTTTTTGCAAACCATGTACTGAGGGGATCCCCAAGTCAATTGTCATCCTGTCAGTAAACCGTGCTTGGAGTCTAGGCTTAATCCCAGACTTTTATCCTGCCGTGCCTGTGTCTTCTCATTGTAAAAGACTTAGCCAGCTGCCTGCCTGTGCCGTTGTCCTCCCTTTCCTTCCTGTGTACCGCCTGCCTCCTGGCTCTGCAGCTCTCATTTCTATAGTAATATCCAAATAGAACACCCGTTTTTCCTTTTTTCCCTTTTGAAACTGATGTCAGGGGCCGGGGAGATGGCTTGGTAGAATAAGCACTTGCCTGGCAAGCACAAGGGCCTGAGTTCAATCCCTGGTTCTGCAAACCCCCCCCAAGAAAAAAAAGAAACTGATGTCAGTGTTGTACTTCTAAAGTATAGATCTAGTGAGTAGCTTTGTGCACAGTCAAGCACCATTACTGTCTTTGCAATTCACTGGCATCGGCTTGGTCCTCGTCTTTGCCAGTTTGATGTATTGTGTGTCACCTTCTCTAGAAAGTTCTGTGGTGTCCCTGTGTTGGAATTAACTGTTCATTTTACTTTTGGGAAAGCTGGAGGATTCTCTAAGTTTTCTTTTAAAAATTATTTTCTATAAATTTGTAGTATATTTTAATAGTGGAATATTTGAGAATTTTAAAACTAGCTACTTTGTTTATAAAATGTGAAGATTAAGAAAAGGTCCTGAATGCATTTTACTCCTTTTATAGCTGAGAAAATTCCTATTGGGAAACCTACCATTTCAAGACTTGCCCAGGGCACGTGAACAGCCTTCGGACAGGATAGCATGCAGCACTCAGCAGTTGGTGTTCTTGTCCTGCTTATGCTGTACGAATTAAAGAAACTTAGTTCGTCTGTGGAAACTAAGGAACCAATTTTTTTCTTCTAGGTTTCAGTCTGAAAGAGAAAGTGGAGATCGAAATTTTGCAATAGGATACTACTTGAAAGAAAAGAAGGTCATTAAATTGTTTCTATTTCAGATTATTTCTTGTTTAATAAAATGAGATGGCATATATAGTGATAAACCTCAGTTGTCATACAGCTCCAAGCTCAAGCTTTCCATTGCTCTTAGAGTTTTTTTTTTTTAATCTGCTCTTTGTTGTAACTGTTTGATAGTCAGTTGAAAATGCAGCTTCGGGCCGGGGAGATGGCTCAGTGGAATAAGCGCTTCCCTGGCAAGTGCAAGGGCCTGAGTTCAATCCCCGGTTCCTCAAAAAAAAAAAAAGAAAATGCAGCTTGACAGAACCTGTCCCACTTTGCTGCAGACACAAAGGGGTGACTCTTGAGTCTGAGCACCCCTCTTGCCCAAAATCACGTAGTGTAATCTTTGGGCCTTGGCATCAATTATTTGATAATTCATTATTTCATGTGGGAAAAATATGTTCGGTTCTCCAGTTTGCAGTGTAGGAACACAAATTTGGAGTGAAATGAGTTTGACAACAGAGGTATCATTTACTAGGAACTCAACAATGGCCTTTAAGTAACTAGTTGTTATTATTACTACCTAAAATCCAGATTTGCAAAGCTCTTGAGTTTTACAAAATTGTTAATGTTACTGTTAAATTGCTTTGTATCTTGCAGTATCCAAAAAATTGAGGAGTAATATTAATTAGGTTTAGTGCTTTTTAAAAGTATAATGCCTGATTGGTATTGATTACCCTTTTAACATTTAAAGTGGCTAATCAGCTAATTTGATTTTATGAATTATGAATCATTTTATCATTTTCACTTGAATTAGTATCTGCAAATTCATATAATGTAATAATGTAATTTTACTTTATTTAATTTCATGTTTGCACTCCTGTACATGAAATGTTCTGAATTAAAATGAAATGCCATGTACTTCTTAAACTTACTCTTGACATATTCTTTTGTTTCTGAGTGTAGTTTTTCCTCTGTGCCTATATTTTAAATTACTTTTGTGCTTTTTCAGTGTTTTCCGGAAGGCACAGACATGGTGGGCATCCTAGACTTCTATTTCCAGGTAATTTACTTTAATTGTCTGAATTTTGTATATGAGTAGGTGCATCACATTTTGAAAAATAAAGATGTCTCTGAAATTTTGACTGTAGGCCGTGACTACAGCAAGTGATGTATAGTACCAGAAACACTCTTCTGATTATAAATCAAACTCTGTTTTATACTTTGGGAGATGCTGTCTTTATCAGAGCGTTTCAACTGAGCATTTAGAGATGTCAGCTTCTTAGCTGACCTGCTATTTTCTGTGATCTTTGCTGCTGCTCTGTCCTGGCTTAGTTGGTACTAGGAGAACAGCTGCTTAGCGCACGCCGTTCCTTTCCTTGTGAGGTAGAGTGGTGGTTAGTATTCCCACGGAGCATGGGGCAGACTGCGCTATAAGTCGTGTAGACACCTCCATTCAGTGTCACCTTCTTGGAGATTACCAGGGCCAACCCCGTATTTTCAGTCTGGTTTATTTGTACATACTTAACACCATTGGTGCCTCTGCTTGGGCTATGGTAAGAAGATATATAGTAGGCTCCATTGTTCGTTTGTTTGTTTGTTTTGTATTTTAGTACAGGGTCCCACTACGAGCCCAATCTACCTACTCGTAGTGATCCGCCTATGTTCAGCCTCCCAAGAGCTGGGACTAGAGGGGCACACCACCACGCCCAGTCTTAGTCGGTCTATCAGTGTGCTCCAGGGGTGGAGCCGGCACCGCACACCGGGGATCGAACCCTGGCCGCTGCATCAGCCTAAGCAGCTGCTTTAAGCCGCTGAGCTTTTTGCATTGTTTTAATATCTGGGTCACCTTACATTTTCCTGCTTTTACTTTGAAGAGATTTAACTGTAAAGTTTTAGTAATTCTATAGCATATACGGGAGATTGACAATAAAGTAGATTATGATGTAAATGCTATATAGGTCACAGTTTGTTATGTGTCCAGTGTGGAACACCACCAGCTAAATAGCTCAGTGGATTAAAGCTCCTACAAGTAGGCACAGGGGCCTGGGGTTCAAATCTCGGGCCTGCCATGCCGGCCCTGTCCTCAGGGTATGCTGGCTGAAGGGGGTGTGCTGAGATGGTAATTGATACTGGGCGTGGTGGTGTGTGCCTGTAATCCCAGCTCTTAGGAGGCTTTAAAACAGGCGGATCACTGAGTCCAATCTAGTAGTGAGACCCTGAACACCCTGTAGACCCTTCCCTAAAATACAAAAAAGGGGGGGAGCTGGGGAGATAGCTCAGTAGAGTAAAAGGGCCTTAGTTCAATCCCCAATTCTGCCAAAAAAAAAAAAAAAAAAAAAAAAGAAAGAATCTAGACTAGATGAAGAGCATAAAATGTAAAGTCCTGCCTGTCAGTTCTTGTATCAGCGATGTGGCCTCATGTTAGCTACAGAGCCCCAGCTTCATTAGCAAGCATAGGCCTCACTCACATTGCTTTGTCATATTGAAGAGAGCTGAAACGGTATGGGTGAAGTTCCTTTGACATTTATGAAGTCTTACATGAATTGTAGTGTCCTTTTTACTGTTTCATCTAGTAACCTTCTTTCCCCCTAGCTCATATAAGTTTTTTCCCTAAATTGCTCTAAATTGACTGTTATAACTTAGATGCTACTGACCTTCTACAAAAGTTCTGTTCTTGAATTGGTCGTGGAAATTTAAATTGTATTTGTTGTGGAAAGTTTTTCATGATTAAATCAACTTTAAAAGCTTTTGCTCACTATATTGGTTCAATATAGATTGTGTGGCTCTGGAGAAATAGGAAGATGGTTTTTTTGTTTGTTTGCTTGTTTGTTTGGTTTTTTTTGTATTTAGTACAGGGCATACAAAGTCTCACTACACAGATCAGACTTGTAGTGATCCTCCTGTTTTCAGCCCCCCAAGTGCTGGGATTATAGGCACATGCCCCCTCTCCCAGTCTCCATTGCTGTCTCAGTGCACCCCAGGGGTGGGGCTGGCACAGCATGCTAGCGACTGAACTGCACCCCTGGCACTTCAATCCACTGAGCTATGTGGCTGGCCCCGAGAACAATCTTTTAAATATCAAGGACAAAAGGTAAAAGTAATAAAAATGAATCCCCAAAACCACTTGAGCTGCAGTGCAGCTCACAGTTAAGGTCCTTTGTAGACACTGAATGTGGCTGAGGGGGCCCCGCCCCTTAGCTCAGTTCTTTAAGTGGCTGCTTCAACAAAGCAGTCAGGCTCAGGTTGCTGCGTTGGATCCCCACAACTCAAGCCAGCCAAACCTGCTCTGAAGGCATTCCGAGCAAAAAACAAACCAAAACAAAAGAGAACTCCTTCTGAAGTGTGGCTGAGGAAAGTTCGCAGTTTGAAGACTTAGTTCTGTTCTCTTTCTTTCTTCCACTGTCTGATTTTTTGCTTGCTATTTATTGAAAATTCAACATGGAACAGTTTGTTTCTTTAGTTTTATGGGTAAATTTGGATTTAGTGTGATAAAACTATTTCCATTAGTGTGATTAAATACAAAAATTTCATGTTAAAAGAAAAAAAAAATTTCATGTTAGAGTACCCAGGTTTTCTCCACACGCATTCAAAACAGTCTGTCCGGTCATGGTAAATGTCCAGAAAACATAAAGGTCTGAACAATAACATGGTTTGGGCTGACCAAGCACCTAAGGTAGAACTAGCTTAAATTTTTTTCTTCCCCTTGCACGCTGTTGTATAAACAACATGCAAAGCTTTGTTATGGGTGAAATGTCAGGAATTTTAGAGTTCTTTCCCCCCAGAGGTAGTGATTTCTCAGAAGTTTATAACGAGTGGCTGAAAAATATGTCCTGGCTTACTTGATTCTGGTTTTTTAAAAGGTAACTATGCTTATGCATCCAAAAAAGAATTAATGTTTAAGCATATTTGAATATCACATAAGGCAGTAACAAATCCTAGAACTTAGGAGTTGGCTTACGCTAACTTAGTTCTCATTAAAATACTAAACAGCTTTAAACAAATTATAAATCCAAAGGGGCAAAGAACTTAGCTCTTAACATTAAAATCATCTTTGGAAGAAATACTTCAGACCTCCGTGAAGTGACAGGTAACAGACTGTTTTAGAAGCGGTCTGTAACGTGACAGTTGTCTGAGCCCAGAATTTCAGTGTGGACTGTTCTCTGCCTCAGCTCTGCTCCATCGAAGTGACTTGCGAGTCAGCCAGTGTGATGGCTGCGACGCTGGCCAACGGCGGCTTTTGCCCGATCACCGGCGAGAGAGTCCTCAGTCCTGAAGCTGTTCGGAACACGCTGAGTTTGATGCATTCCTGTGGCATGTATGATTTCTCGGGGCAGTTTGCTTTCCATGTAAGTGTTTACTACTCTTAGTTTTCTCCAGCAAGAAACTAGTCTGGACCAGTGGTTTTAAAAGTGCGGTTTGAACTTTGCTCCTAAAGCTGTATATTAATTTTTGAAAGGAAGGCTTATTTTAAGGTTAATTTTTTACAGATTGGTAAGGAATAGAGTTAAATTGTCTAGCAGATGCTCTTGAAATTTATATAGAAGCTGTTCTTGAGGCATTTCAGCGTACAAGGTTAGTATAGATTACATTTACTTATTAATGTTCAGCATTATGGGAATTACATGCTTCAAAAATTCTTCCAGTTCTAAAAGAAGGCATAGATAGCGCTTAGCATCTTTGTTTATAGCATTGACGTTTCAAAGGACTGTGACGCTTAGTTAAAACTTAAGAACATTCTTCTTTGAGTTCGGTCACACGTTTGCAGCTTGGTAGGTGTTGAGGATAGGCGTCTTTTATTTCAGCCTGTTCCTTCCATGGTGCCCTTTTAAGCTTGTATCATTTTTGGAATTTTCAGACATACTGAACTTGAAAAATATGAATTTATGAATTTAAGTGTGCATACTGAACTCTTGCTTCGTGTGTATGCACACTTCCTCCATAGAACCCTTGTATATAAAAAAACTTAAAACAGTATTTAGTCTCACTGTTACATCTAATATCAATATTTAACATGCATATTTCCTGGGTGATTTTATAAATTATAATTATGTTATAGTTTTATGACTTGGGGTGCATACAAGCACTATATGTTGAAATTGGTGCCTCCTTTTAATCTGTAAATCTCCCCTCAATCTATTTTTCTTATTGAAAACACTGTGTCTTTTATCCCATATAATTTCTCAGTATTTAGATTTTGCTGATTACATCTGTTTCTGTTGTCCTTTGTATTTTGCCTATAAATTGTTACATCCAAATCAGGTTGGCTTTTTGTTCACTTAATGTTTTATTTAGTTTTGTGCAGATTGCCTCATTGTTTACATTTGTCAAGAAGTATTTTATAGCCGGACTGAGTTGGAACATACCTGTGATCTCAGCACTCTGAAAGGCTATGGCAGGAGGATTGACAGTTCAACCCCAATGTGGGCAGTTTAACAAGATCCTATATCAAAATAAGTAAAAGCACTGGGGGCACAACTCAGTATAGAGGTTGGGTTCATTCCCCAATACTGCCAGTAAAAAAAAAGTACTTCATGTCTGAATATCAGACACTAATGAACACCAGCTAGCTATCCAGGGGATACTAATTTTCCCTTTTATCATAATTGTTGCCAACTTTTGCATAATACAAACTTTTGCAGTGCATTGATTTGAATTACTATTTGTCTTATTTTGCAGAGCTGTCTCAAATAATACAGTATAGCTTGAATATCTTTTAAGAACAATTTCTAGTCAACAATAAAATAAAAATAGGCCAGTGAGATAGCTCAGCAGACTAAAGTGCCTGCTTAGTCAAGCTTAGGCAAGCACAGGGACTGCAGTTTGATCCCCAGGACCACGTGCTGCACCAGCCATGCCCGCAGGGCAGGCTGAGCCGGCCAGAGTCTGGGCGTGGTGGCGCACACCTGTAATCCCAGTGCTGGGGAGGCTAAAAGGATTACAGATCTGAGCTGTGTAGTAATACCGTGCAACAACCAAATACATGAGAAGTAAAAACATCCATAGCCCCACAGTTTAGATGTAACTACTTTAACTTTTTAGAATGTTTTTCAAAATTTTTATATATTCTAATGTATCCCAAACTGTTTATCACTGGTCATTCAAGAGCTGCATATTAAAAAAACACTGAGATTCCATCTCACCCCAGAAAGAATGGCTGTCATTAAGAAATCAACCAATAACAAATGCGGGAAGGGCTGTGGGCAAAAGCAAGCCTTCTACACTGCTGGTGGGAGTGTGGGCTGGTTGAACCACTGTGGAAATAAATCAGTGTGGAGGTTCCTCGAACTAGGACTAGAAGTCCCATTTTGCCCCGCCCTTCCCCTTCTGGGTATCTTCACAGAACAAGTAAAAACATCTTAGCACAGTGATATGTGTGCACAGATGTTTATAGCAGCAGTTTCTGATAGCTGGATATTAGAAACAACCCAGATGCCCATCAACTGAGGAGTGGATAAAAAGATATGGCCTTTTTATATAATGAAATCCCACTCAACCACAAAGAATGATGAACTAGAGACTTTTATAGATAAATGTGATACAACTGGAGACCGTACTTTCAATTGAAATAAACCAGATGCAAATATGTAAACATCATATTGTCTCCCTAGTGTGAGAAGCTCAAGGAATAAATAAGATCCAAATAGATAGTTGTAAAATGGGAAGAGGCTTCCAAAGGAAAGAAAACTGAGTCGGAAGGACAGAGAAAAGAGGGAAAATGAAAAAAATACATGTAGAAAAGATAGTTAAGATAGTTATACTACTAATTTCTCTCAATTCATTGAAAAGATAAGTTTGTGCTAATATTGTTTAGACAATTAAATGCTGATATTTTATATTCTGAGTAATTTAAAGATAATACACAACCTATCATTGTTTTGGAATTTTCTTTTTGCTTTTATTTCTTTAAAGTTTTGAAAATAAAATTTTGAAAAGAACAAACTTTTATAATTTGATTTTTTTTTTTTAAAAACAAGTTGATAGGGGCCAGGGAGATGGCTCAGTAGAAAAAGTGCTTCCCTGGCAAGCACAAGGGCCTGAGTTCAATCACCAGTTCCAAAAAAAAAAAAAAAAAAAAGTTGATAAATATTTGCCTAATTTATTTTGTTGAAATTCTCTTGTTATGTATTTACGTCATGATTTTTTTAGCTAATTCCCCAATAATAGACATGATAGTTTTGTCTACATGAATCCATTTTGCTGAATTATTTTTAGGTTGGTCTTCCTGCAAAATCTGGAGTTGCTGGGGGCATTCTTTTAGTTGTCCCCAATGTCATGGGCATGATGTGCTGGTCTCCTCCTCTGGACAAGATGGGCAACAGTGTTAAGGGGATTCACTTCTGTCATGTAAGTTCTTAAATGAAAGTGAAACTCCCAGAAGCTGAGCCAGCCACTGATTCTGTTTGTTACCCGTTGGCCATAGTTCATTGGCGTGGCCCTCGGCCCGCCCTTGTGCCAGTGACCAAGAGCCCAGGGAACCAGGGGGGTGCACATGGTTCCCATTCAGTTGTTCTGATGGTGCAGAATGTTAGTTTGGGGTTTATGTCTTAATTTCCATAGCTGTAGTTAACTTTGGTTTTCAAAACCAACAAAAGAGAAGTAACTTAAAATCAAAACATTTTAAGAATTACAGTTTATTATGTCATCTTTAATATGAATAGTTTAAATATTTTTTACTAACTAGCTTTACAAGTTTTTATTAAGGAAATATATGGATAAAAGTAAAATTTAAAAATGTTATTCTTAATTAGCTTAGTAATTTGTCATCCCAGTTCTTGCTCGTATTTCAGCAAGAACTTCCAATTTTATTTTCATTTATTGCTTCCTAGAGTCTATATTAAATACCAGTATGTCTTCTGTACTTTCTTAATTAAAATTCTGACATATTTTCTAGTTTTTCATGTTTTACAAAAATTAAAGAATGACATTGGCTTGTATATAAATTGTGAAAGATTGTTAACAAGCTGACTTACGTTCCATAGTACCTTGTCCTTACTTCATAAACTTCTTTGTGTGGCTTGTTAGTGGGCCCTGTTAGAAGGTGAAAGGATTCGCGTGGCCAAGCCCTAGAGCTTCGCTAGTCGGGGCGCTCTCACAGCCTGTGCCCTGCCCTGATGGCAGCCCTCTTGGTGCATTGTGGGCTCACGTGGCATGCAGTGGTGGCTTCTGTGAGACAGTAGTTACTCTGAACAGTACTAAGCATAATTCATTAAAATGTGAGCACTTAGCAACTAAATAGCTAATATCTTATAACTGTTCCCTATAACTTTTTACAGGATCTTGTTTCTTTGTGTAATTTCCATAACTATGATAATTTGAGACACTTTGCAAAAAAACTTGATCCTCGAAGAGAAGGTGGTGATCAAAGGGTAAGCCAGATTCTTTCTTAATTCGTTCTGTAGATTCTTTTAAGAGAAAGTGAGACTTGGCTGTTGAAGTGAAGTTTAAGTTGTTTAGTGGTCTTCTGTTTTTGCCAGTCTTGAACAAGCATAAACAAATTGATACTTTAATCCTGGATCACTAGTACAAAAGCATTAAATAATGTTTGTTATTTAAATTGGAATAGCCTAAGAACAGTGGCTGTTTTCTGCTATTTTAAGCAAGTTTTAGAATTGATTCTGTTAAAAGAAGATAGTAGAAAGTGCTACATGTTATACTTAAAAGAAATCCTTATTTTTATATTGTTTGCAGCAGTAATTTTTAACTGAAATTTGTTTAAACTTACTGCTTACATGTGGATGAATGAGTGTGTTAAGTGCAGGTATGACCATATTAATGACCCATCTTACGGAGCCTTGAAGGGAGCCTTACAGTTATTGAAAAACAAAGAGTACTTAGTGCAGTATTCCTTGTACTCTTAAAATACTCTTATCTCTGTTTGGCTTCATATTATTATACTTACATATACATTTAATATATATATATATGTGTGTATATGTATGTAGGAATGGTTTAGAGTTCCTTTCGCTGAATCGGGGGCTTATGTTGAGATCATTCAATTTTTTCGCGTCCCACATGGAAAATGTTTATAGTAACATTACCTGTTGTGCTCTGATGCACTTGTAAGTAGTGAATACTTTGAATACATACTGAGTAAATTTTTGTTCGTGCCAAACTAAATTTTATGTTTGATCAATCAAAGTACCTTGTGATAACAGGATTGTGCAAAGCCCCCAGAGCAGAAACTTTGGTGGGTGTCACCGTGGGTATCGAGTGAGAGGAGATGACAGTAGGGGGAAATGTTACCGGTAGCATTGTAGTGATGTTCATTGACAAATACCGTTTTATAGCTTGGACTTTTCTTCACTCAAGTGCACTAATAAATTATGTATGTTGCTTGAACAACTAGCATTCCTTTGGACCATTGGACTATGAAAGTCTCCAACAAGAACTTGCTTTAAAAGATACAGTGTGGAAAAAAGTGTCACCTGAGTCAAATGAGGACATCTCTACAACTGTAGTGTATAGAATGGAGAGTCTGGGAGAGAAAAGCTAAAGGAATGGGTCCTAGTTTCAGACGTTCTTCATTTAACCTTCCAACAGACATCTTGAGCTTTTTTGAAGTATTTATTTGATTTTGTGTGTGTGTGTGTGTGTGTGTGTGTGTGTGTGTGTGTGTTCTCAACCGGGGATGCTGGAACCACAAAGATTTTTTTCCTCTGTAATCTTTGTATGACGATAATAGATTAAAAATGGATTTGTTGGTATTTTAAGAGAGTATTTACAGGTTATGAAGCAGGTTTGCATTATTTTTTTAAAATGCTATAAGGAAAATTTTAAAAAGTTTCTTTATATAATTTCGAGTATGTAGTCAGATAACCCCATTGTCATAACTTTTAAACTCACAAATTGAATTCATAAGTTTTGTTGCAACTTTTTTCTATTTTTTAAAACCAACATGATGTTGATAGTAACCTTAGAAAGTGCTTATATACTAAATACAGAACTAATAGGCAAAATACAGTGGTGCCTGGTATGGGAAAGCCTTTGCTTGCAGGCTGGTTCTCTGCTGTCTGGCAGAGCTGTGCTTCTTGTTCTGAACTCGGCATGAAGGACAGACACAACCGAGACCATCTCGCCCACGCAAACAGTAGTGCAAATGTGGCCATTTGCTCCAAAATCACAGAGTGGATAAGTTCCTGAACCGAGGCTCCACTGTAGTGAGTCCCAAATTATTTTTATTTAAAATAGCTGATTACAAAATTAGCTTAAGTGTACATGTATGTTATTTTTAGTGATAGAATAGCCTTACATTTAAACATATTATTTAAAATTTTATCAAGCTGTTAAATCTTCTTGCTTCTTCATGTTGCAACTCCAGTGTTCTGTCAGAATCCCCACACGCAGAAAGTCGTGAGGCAGCGCAAGTGTCCGGCCACAGACTTGCGCTGTGAGCCGGCGTGTCTCGTTGTTGCAAAGCCGCGCTGGCCGGTTGGTCAGTGGGTAGGAGAGCCAGGGAGTGTCCTACGTGTGGATTCTATTTTCCTATCACCCACCTAGTTTTTCTGTTATATTTACATATGAATGGGAAAATTGGATTTTTTTTAGCTTTTAATCATTTTATTACCCTAATAATTTCATAGCTGCTAATGAGTATTTCTTTTGTGATAAATTATAACAAAGTTTGTTTTAAATAGTTCTTTAATAAATTCTTATTAGTGAATTTAGGAAATGAGTTTAGTAAGTATGCAGCCTAAAATATCTATTAAATCTGAATCTTTTTGCTCAGTTACAAAAATGCAATATTGAGAATCAAAACTTGTTTTTAAAAGGAGAACCATAGGTTCTAGATAACCTGATTTCAAATAATTATGCACAGTATTTTGAAAACCTGTCTTGGCAAAGTGCTTGTGAGGTTCCGCAGGACCTATTCACATTTCTTCCTCCATGTGCACCCTCTGGTTTCCCCTAGAACGATGGCATGGGTGTGATAGGGCAGAGGCTGTCAGAGTAAGAGCCGGGTAGCAGAGCAGACTTGCATGAGTGTGTTCTGTGCCAGTCAGAAGTACACAAGGAAGTCTTAAGTAATGTCTTGAAGTTGGTGACTGTATTAGAAAAGAAGTTCCTGCCCCTAGGTGCTAGTTAAAAGCCTTTTGGGCTAACTTACATATAATTTAAATACTTAAACCATCAACTTTTAGAAGATTTTACCAAGAATTCTATTCCCTGTCAGCACATTTCTGAGGGTCAGATGCGAGGCTTCCTTGGGTGGTCTCAGGGGTCCCACTTCTGCATCTCTGTGAGTGGTGGTACCTCTCCGGTGGGCTCCTCCAGGGCTGTTCGTGATTCATGCCCTTGAATGCCTTAATTGAAATGTAAGGTCTTTTTTCCCCACACTGTGCTCACAGTTATATTTTGCTATGTCACCAGAGATTGGTCTTATAAAATATTGTTTTCACCCTATGTGCATATTTGTACATTTGTCAGAATGAGGTTAATTTATAGCACTTCCTATAACATTGCTAAAGGTGTCGTGCACACTTAGGAAGTATGGCTGTCCAAGCCGCTGTGTTAAAGAACGTTGGTAAGAACAAGCGTCTGTAGAGACTTATAGGAAGGTATAAATGGGAGAAGAGGTAAGATACTGTGAATAGGTCCACAGCAAAAAAGAAAAGCTTTGCCAGTTTTAAGGACATATTTTGATTCTTTCAGTATTCCTAGTATCTTTTCAAATAAAATTATTGAAAAGTACCTAGTTGGGTTTGATGTTGTGTGCCATTGTTGATTCTTGATATTCAAGCATTTGCAAGACAGCGTATTTGTTTTTCTTTTTTTCCTTTTTTTCATCATTAACATTTCATTTGAAATGCATATTCTTCCAAAAATACTTTGTTTTTAGCATAAATGTTGTGCATTTTATCTTAGTGTTTGGTTTGAAACATTTGTGTTGTTCAGCCTTCTTTCATTTGCTTTGTATATTTAATAATGTACTTTATTTTCCAGTTTGCCTACTTTTTGTATTGTACAATAAATTTATTTTAAGCTGATTTCATTGTTTTTTTTTATTTTTATAAAAGCAACAACTCTAACCTTTTAAGTATGACAGTTGGGATTTTAACTTAGAAATTATCCTTCAGGAAGATACCTTTTCAATGTTTATTTTTTTAGACTGCCTCAAAGTGAAACTAGAAATACTCAAAATGTATTCATTTGATTTTTTTTTTTAAATGTAGTGTTAGTATTTATTTTTAGGGGAGAAGTTATTTCCTGTTGTAGCTTTATTTGAATAAAACCTTTTCCAATTATTGTTACTGTTTTTCCATTTGATAGCTTGAGAAAAAGCCCTACTTCCAGTTCTGTTTTTTGAGGAAGAACGTGACTGGTATTTTGTCTGTTGTTATTTTCACAGTAGGAAAAGCATTGTTGAGTATCATAATAATGATTTAGAATAAAACTTTCTCAGAATTTATATTGAGTAGAATGACATACAAAAAGTGACCTTCACTACTTCTTACGGGATTTAATTTTCAGAAAGAATGTATGTCTTTTCTTACAACCGGGTCTTAGATTCTCTGATCAGATCTGCCATCACATTCTAGAGATTTCTCAAGTGTCTTAAGTTTTAAACCTGGAAAGGGCAAGTACTTGGTGGTGGATTTCTGAGGAGTTTCGGCATGTATTCAGTCTGTACCACAGTGTACGATCACTTGCATTTTTTTTAACCTATTGAAAGTAGAAAAGAGACAAATAGCTGGTGTTCTTCGCCTGACAGTGGCATGTCACAGACTGCTGCTAACACGCTGGCGCTGAGTGGTGGGTGTGTATTGCATGTGAAGGGGCTCGTCTATTTCTCTCAGCTGTCTACTAAATCTGTCTGCACTTTCCACGTACGATTATGTGCAGATAGTTCCAGGATTTGCCATAAAAGCACTTGAACTTTTTTTTTTTTTTTTTTTTTGCTGTTCCAATATATATTAAAAATCTTACTTAATTGTTTCTATTTTGTTCCTGTTCCCATTCTTGCCAGCACTATCAGGGTAGAAAGTAGTTAGTGATATTGGGGAGCTCCGAAAGGGAAAGACAGAACGCCTGATTGCCTGTGAAACCTGATTGTATAGCATTTCCCAGTATTTATTAAAAGAAGGATTGTGTTTAATTGAAAACAGGGAACGTATCACACAAACTGAGAAGCTAGCTTTGTGGAATGTTTTCCCCCACAGTGCTAGGAATTGAAGCCAACACCTTTGCTCTGAGCACGTCGTCAGCAGCCCCTGTTTTTTCCATTTTGAGACAGGCTTTCCCTTTGTTACCTAGACTGGGCTGCTCAGACTTGGAATCTTCATGCCTCAGCTTCCTGAGTGTTGGGATTCTTGGTGTATGCCAGCCACCAGGCTGGCCGTGGAATAATTTTACTTTGTTCACTGAGCACAAATACCCAAGTTTATAGCAAGACCTTCCCAGTCCTTGTGATGGCCTAAGAAGGTTCAGCGTCTCCTTTTGTTTTAAATTATAACAGTTAAGATATTTATTTCTTACATTGCTGAGATTTAAACTGGATCATAGCAGGTTCTTTTATTTTTCAGCTCAATGGTTTATTAATATGAACACCATAAAATGCACAGGACAGAAAAGTTTAGACAATTATTATAGTGGCATTTGAAGCAAAATCTGAGCTGGTGGGAAAAAACCTAGAGATCTCTTAGACTTGTTAACACTAATAGGAAAGGAACTCATTTTTAAAAGAGGAAGGTTAATCATCTTTAAACATGATTCTGTTACTGTGGTCTCCAAACTTCAGTTTACAGCAGTTGAGCCTGTAAAAAGAAGGAAACTTCAGGTTGATTGTTTGCCATTTCTGTTTTATAAATTGTATTTCTACTTTAGTAATTTTTATTAGTTGTAGCAAATAGAGATTTTAAAATACAGCATGCCATGTTTAGGAAGCCCATTTTGATTAAAACTTTTGTAGACTTCCTCATCTGTTAACCTTCTAACTAAAAGCAAGTAGAATTCTAATCAGCACTGGAGTGCAGGAATGCTTTTCTGGTGGTATCTGGTATTTTTACTTATGTTAATCCAACAGTAAGTTACAAAACATTGTTGAAAACTTCATGTCTGGTTAAATCATTAAAAAGCAAAAACCCACAAGTTACAGCCTTGCCTTTGTAACGCTTGTTGGTATTAGGGTGTTGCTCAGTGCCCGGCTTTCTCCAGGCCCCAGGTTAGTGCCCAGTACAGGTGGGGAGGAGGGACACAAAACCCCTGGCAGAGCAGTTGAGCTGGTGCCAGTGCTGGCAGCTGACCTAACACTGTTCACTTTTCAATTCTAAACCTTACTAGATGAGAGAGAGCTTTGTCAAAATTTTGTGGACCAGAGCTCAATGGCAAAGGATAATTTCATATACTTACTGTAAGCCACATTTTAATATCTGACTTTTAAAAAATACAATATTAGATGTGATGGCCTTTATTATGCTAGGAGTTTATCTTGCTGCAGTACTTTCAATCCAAACACCTGAGATGATTAAAAGTATCTATTTGGAGGGTGAAGTTTTGGAAGGAGTTCTTACCTCTGAAGTATGCACTTCTGGTGGTTTCTTCTTTTTTTTTTTTTTTTTTAAACAGTGAAAATCTAACCCAGATTTATACTCCTAAGCTATAATTGAATTTGTATTCTAAAACTGAAAGGTTTCTTTTAATTTGAAAACATGATATGGTCTTTTTGCATGTTTGATGTATTTTCATTTATTGTGGTTTTGTATTTTTTAAAATTTTTATTTATTTATGTATTTATGTATTTACTTTGAGGTACCAGGGATTGAACTCAGGACCCTGCGCTTGCCAGGCAGGCACTTATTCTACTGAGCCATCTCCCCGGCCCCTGTATTTTTTTTTTAAACCCACAGAATGGAGCTCCCACTGAGTTCCTCCAGGTTTCTTAGCATATATAATTTCTTTTTGTGTGTGTGTGTGGGGGGGGGTTGGTCTGTTACATGTTTTGTTTGGACAGATTTTTGTTTACTTTTAGCAAGCAGTGTAATTGGCAGTAATTAGTATGACTAAGTATTTGGCAGACTGGCTGTACCTTCAGCATTTATTAAGCTACTTAATTGTATTTTCTGGTAAGCAGTCATATGCTGTAGTTAATGACTAAGAAAGCTAGAAATGAATGTTATAGTACGCAGTTGTTCAAAAGGTAAAACGTTACCCTGGAACCTTTGAAAGAAAGTGAGGTAGCAGAAATGCAGCACTAAAAATAAGTGCTGTACCACTAGCATTTTAAAATAGATTTCTTTGGGGTTACAGTCTGTCTAAAAAAGGTATACACACTTCAGGAAGAGAAAAACTTAATCCCACTGTATGGAGCTGTGGTGAGATCAGCCCCAGTTAGCTGAGGCCTCTCAGTTGCAGAGGTGCTCATGGGTGGCCGAGAGCTTCCGGACATTCCCAGCGTGGCCAGCCGCTGCTCGGGACCCCGCGGTCACTGGGGTCGCCGTGCACGCGCTTTCAGTTTTCCTCTAAGTGTGGGCATTTAGTGCAGTGTAGTGGGTTTTCTGTGCTATCTGGGTGTGTGGCATCCTTTAGGGTCCCCTATACGCGAGTGACACCATCTGTTGAAGAAACTACTGTTTCTTCAGTGTACATTTTTGGGGGCAGCCTGTAGAGAAGTAAAAAGATTTTTAAGTGAAAGTATTCAAGTTCTCAAGGTGGATGTTGATCAGAGAAAAGAATGTTTTGCATGTTACGTGCATACACATGCAAAAGAGCCATAGCTACTTCCCTTGGCTTTATTTTAGACAGCTGGATCCACGAGCGGCCTCAGAACAAGGTTCCTGGCTTATTTATTCCGACTGTACTTTGTATTGTCTTCAGTGTCAGTCTCTGTTTTATAAGTGGGAGGTTTTATTTGTTATTTATGAAGGAAAATGATGTGTGTTTTCTGTTATACATGAATTTTTTAAGCCTTCCTAGTTGTAAAATGTTGCTCTCTGAAGAGCATGGTTTGTGGATTAGAGCAGGTAGTATAGTGGGAGAAAGAGTGCTGAGCGATACGAGACCCTGCCTGCGCTCAGTACACAGAGCTTACCAAAAAAGTTACTTAGTTCTCAAAATTAAATTTGCCCATTTAGCTCCTCTTCCTAGAAGCTCATAAAAGTGAGAATCTCAGCTTCTAAGAGACTCTTATTATGAATGATTTGCTTTCAGAATGTGCACCCTAAAATAAGAGGGATGCTGCAACAGAGGCGTGGGCTTCACCGTGTAGCCGCTCACACGCAGCCTTTCCTTTGTGAGAATCCAACGTGAAATCTTGGTCTTCAGTCTCGTGTTAAACTTCTCTTTAGTCCTACATTAGAATTAATTTTGGTTGCGCCTGTCACAAATAATTATTAAAAGCTAATACATAAAAGTGGCTTTCATAGGAACAGCATATAGCTTAATGCTAGATCTTGCCTTTTTATAAAATGAGATTTATGGTATTATATAAAAGCATAAATTATTAATTGAAGTCCACCCAAGGTCTGTTCTTTTTTTCTCGTCATTCAAAATAAAAGATCCTAATTGAAAAACTTAAAATATATTCCCTTAAGTATTATACCACCATTCATTTTTGCTAGAAAATGAAATAATTTTTTAAATGACATCAAAATCACCCATGAAATTGGTTTTCATTTCCAAATTTTCATGTTATATATCTCTGCTTCCAACTCTTTAGCATTATTGGCACCTGCCATTCTAGTTTTCTTTTAAAAACATGCTGAGCCTGTCATGGCGTTAAACAATAATCCCAGCGTTTTTGGAGGCTGAGGCAAAAGGACAAGTTCAAGCTCAGCCTGGGTACCTAATGGGACCCTGTCCCAAAATAATACCCAAAACTGAAATTGGGTGTAGCTCAGTCAGTGCAGAGGCCGGGAGTTGTCTCCAGCACAGTAAGAAGCACAAATGGAAAAGTCCGGAGTTGTTCTGTGTGTGTGACAGCTTGTTCTTTATTACCAAAAGCCTTCCGTGTATGTATCTCGGGTCCAGATCTTTGCACACCACTTATAAT